CCTGCCCCCCATGCTGGGAGCCCCACAGCAGATGGAGTGCCCTACAGGTGGGGTGCTGCCCTGCTCCCATTTCCTGCCCTCAGGTGGGAGCTGCTTCATGCTCAGAGCAGAGCTGTGGGGAAAACGGAGCTCTGCTTTTAAGAGCCCTTTTCTATGAGTAAATGTTTATGTCCATGGGACCTCTTCTGAGCCTCAGGACTACTCTGTGTGACTGGTGCTTTATTTTCCCCCTTTGATGGTTGTGCTGTTGAAGGTCACTGCATTCCTCTTACTGTGCTGTTGTATCTGCTTCCTTTGGCAGCAGGCCAGCCCAGGTTGATCTGCCAACCATGGCTACAGCAGCTGGGTCCACCTCTGCTCCCCAGCACAGCGACACCGGGGACCAGAGGAGAAGGCATGAGCAGGGCTGCACACACCCACAGCAAGAGGCAAGAATCCTTCTCCAGGATTCTTTTTCCAGGGAGAAACCAACCTAATTTCTTTGTCAGAGTCCTGATGCTGATCACAGCCCCTTCCTGGTTGATTTTATTCTTTTTTCCCCTTATGTTACTAACTGGAAGCAGCACTAGTGTGTTAGAGGTGCCCTTTGTATGTACATTCTGCTCTGAGGGTGCAGCACATCTTTCCAGGCACAGCACAGAGCATACAGCAAGGCAACCCTGCAGCAAGCACTGCTCGGGCTGGTCTTGTGCTCGCTGCCCTTGTTACCAGCCCAGTCTGCACTTAGAGCCCTGCTGGAGCAGAGCACTTACACTACGTCAACCCCAAGGTCTGAGCTACATGCAGCATGTACATACTCATGCTCTGACACCCTCTGAACTGCCCAGTGTGAGTGTGTTCAGGCATCACTTCACAACAGCCTCTCCTCTTTTGGTCAGTGACTTGAAGCAAGTCTTAATAAGTGCCAGAAAATTATTACAGTCACATTTCTAATTACACACCCTTGAAGTATGGGCTCAGCATGAACTCGGGGTAAGCATGTCCGTAACTCCAGGTTTTAAGTACTCAAATTAAGCTCTCAACAATTTGGCAGCAGAGTTGGGTCCAAGAGGCAGCTTTTACCACACTGCCTTCCAGGTGAAGGCAGGTTCTTTGCTCTCAGCTACACTGCACACCTATTTCATGGTGCTATACCTGGCTTCTACCCTTGAAAAGCAACCGTGTGAGGGACACGAGACTTCCCTCCTGATCCCTGCACTTAAACAGCCCTTTTTTTACCCCTGATTTCATTCTTCCTGACTGCTGCAGTTGGTTCTGTGCACAGCAGCTCTTGGCCCCTGGGTTGAGAAGCACGACCAGTGGGGCACACTCAGACCACTGCTGCAGGGTGCTGTGAAACCTCAAAGCTTCTTGCTAATCAGAGGTCAAACCCAGCCCCTTGGAGGGTGAGATGAGCAACAGCAATTTCGTTTCCATTCCCATTCCCCCTGGACAATCTGGGGTGCAAGTTGCTGGGTTCTGCTTGTCCAGGGGTCCACAGCCCCTCTTTGCTTTGCAAAAGTCCCTGGAAGGTGACATGCCAGGAGTTCCAGCATTTGCTTTCACTTTTTGCTGGGAGGGCAGGATCATGCAGTTGACTTTCTGGGGACAAGCCTGAAGCAAACCCTCGGCTGCTCACTTACCAGGGTGGCAACAAGCCTGGCACCTGCCAGCGCCCCCTCCTCGAGGTGGCAACGCTTCCGAAGAGGAAGAGCCTCTGGCTCTTTTCCAATAGAGCTGGCTCCTGAGGTGTCTGAAACTAAGCACAGATTACTCAAAGTGTTAAAAAAACCAGTAGTTTATTTCAAAAGGATGATTTTCAGGCTTGTCAGGTAAAACCCCACTACAGTCAACACAGACACGCAGACACTACAGTACATACAAAAATGGGGAGAGCTTGCAACTGCCCAGTTCAAGGTGGACATCAAATCAGTCCTACACTTTTTTTTTTTTTGTATTTACATGTCCAGCTGCAAAGCAAAACACAAAATCAGATTCTGAGTTTCCTAGGAAAGGATTCGCACATTTGACTCCCAGTAGCCAATACATCACCAAAGCTGAACAGGACTCCCCCAAACGGCTGCTACCCAGTTCTCTTATTTACAGCTACACCCCATTAAATTAAGACAGCACTTCAAATATATATATATATATCTATCTATCTATATCTATCTGTGTGAGGGAAAAAAAAAAAAGTGTAGTGATTTTGAGAATAAAAGATGCATTTTAAAGGGTACTTAGAAGGGATAAAAAGGAAAATTAATTCATTTGCTTTCTCTTAGCTAGGTTTTTACTTTTTCCTTTCTCCCCTCCGGTGTTTGGAAGGGAACAAAGATTTTGGGTGGCAGGGCTGGCTCAGTGTCATTTGAACTCTCCCTCCAGTGTTTTTATACAATGCCCACCCCTACCCAAACCATCAAATTAGAAAAATATATATATCAAGCTTCTATTTTAAAAAATCTGTATAGATATTTTTGGTTAAATGAAAATACTAAAGAGTTGGTAAGAAAGCAGAATCACACTTGGTTCTGTAGCATCTGCAGTACTCAGTACAGGGGAAGGGCTGGCAGGGAGCAGGAGCAGATCTGACTGTCCCTCTGTATAAAACAGATTCTAATTTACTGGACATTTAAGACAGCATAAAGAAAGGGGTGAAGTGTCTGGTTTTGTTACAGTACAAAATGCTGCTCAGATCCCACAGCTGGGCCCAGTCACTCTCCCACTCAAGGCATGAGGGGGTTTGCTGTTGTTTTCCAAGGAATTGGGTTAAGACCCCTCCTTTTTCCTGGGAAGACACCATGGGTGTTTCCAGGGAACTAGACCCCAGACAGTTCTGCTGAAACGTCATGTTCCAGCACCAACAGCAAAGCACCAAGTCAGGGACAACTTTATACCAGGCCACTGAAAATAAGATGGAAAAACTTGCATCAACTGCAGAGAAGAAACTAAACCCAACCTTTCCACTTAAAAGCCATATAAAGATTTTTAGCATATTTAAAAGTGGATCATTGGAAGCCTCCAGCAACTAACACTTCTACAAAGAGCTCAGTCTAGAAGCATGGTGCTAACAGACCTGTACTGAACGTTCCCAGGTGTTTTGGTATTACTTTCAAATAAAGTCTATTAAAATAAATCAATTATTCCTGAATGTCTGTTGCTGGCAGAAATTTAGTTTGTCAATAGTTTTATTGCTGCTGGGAGGTAAATGATAACAAAATAACCAGCCACCACCCCATAGCACAGGGGAAAGTGCCACCAGTTAAGAAAATAAGCAATACTCTTGTTTGCTAGAGCAAGGGGTGAACACTCACTGCAGAGCCCTGCTGCACCACGGGACGACTGCACAGGAACTGCATCCTTCTCCCCCTCTCCACCAGGGATTTAAGGACCACCTACCTTCAAGGTCTCCAAACTGAGCTAGGCGCTGGAAAGTCAAGCCATGCTTTATCACATCCTTATCCACCACTGCTCATTAAGCTCCTAAAATGGGCCCTTTAACAGCTCTGCTGGGATGAAAGAAGAGGAGTCAGCCTTCCCCTCACAGCGCTGATGGCTTTGGTCAAGGACAGGCAGCTCGCTCATGTGCTCACAAAACATCAGCTGCATCTGCCACGCACAGCAGAACTGGAAGTCAGAAGCCAGTTCTGGTGATCAGCTGATAACTCCATCTTTCCTTAGTAAATAAAGGTGAGTCTTTACAGATACACCCACAAAACCTCCAAATGCAATTCAGACCATCTCTAAAAATACCTCCATTGGAGGAAAGAAAAAACTTCTAACACAGGACTCTCACCCCCCACCTATCACAAGCCAGACACAGCTAAGAACAATCGTGACCTAAATGCAAGCTCAAACTATAAGCTCGCTGTATAGTTTGGGCTGGAATCACAATAAAATAAGCAGCATAAGTAAGTTCTAAGTTGTATCTGAGTTTATTTCAACTTTCCAACTATAAAACCTCATTGTACTGATATGGCCAACGGCCCTTTGGTACCACCTCAAAGAGACATGAAAAGAATTCCCCAGGGAGGACTCGACAGCCAGCAACTGGAATGAACTGCTCCAACCTCTACTACAGAATTGGCTTTAGAAAGACCCAGCTCTCTGTGAGTAGAATAAATGCATTATTAAGTAATTATTCCTTGAAATCGGGAGACAAAACATTTCATTAAACGTAGAAAATTCAAGGCATTATTGATTTCTGGCACCAGTAATATAGGGACAACTTACTCCAACAAAAGGTTACACGTAGTTTATACATGAGATTCAGTGTGAACCTTCTTACACAATGCTTGGATTTAGGCTGGATTTTTGCTTGCCCAAATCAATAAAACTGCTGTACCTGAAATGTAGATTTCCATACAAAAAATATGAATTACTCACCTGACAGAAGTGACAATCCCAGCAACATGGGGTGCAGTAACATAGCTCTCAAACAGAACACAGCTACAGAACTCGTGATCTTATCCTGTATTTCACCAGTCATTTTTTTCCTGCCCTTGTTCAACCTTGCATTTTAAAATGTTCTTTAAATGTTGGTTTTGAGAAAGAGAGCACTGAAATGAAAAACTGTTCTCTCCTACAGCTCTGCAACATGGCCAAGTAGGTCTAAAAAAAATACTATTTCCTTTCTAAATCCACTGATTCTGCTGGGCAGGAATGAGACTGCTGTCCCTGTTCTGAAAAGTGACAAAATGAAAACCTCACCTACGCCCTCCTGTGCAGGTGTGGTACAATTTGGTTCTGCAAAAAGCAAGTTTAAGATGCCAACGATAGCGAGGCAGATGCACCGATGTCTCAGCTCAGAAGCACCATGGAAGCATCTGTTAACATCTGCAATTGCTCACAGGTTTTAGGCCAGTGTCCAAACTGGTTTCTGAACTGCTCTGGGTGCCCTAGGTTTCTGCAGAGGGAGGCAGGTGACAGACATGACTGGGAACCCAACTTCTTCTCCTTCTGTGCTAACTCACCATCCCAGCCGAGCGCAGGCGGCCAGAAGCTCTCATGGTGCCACACCACAGAGGCTGCTTCTTTGGCTGAACTGCAGAACACAACCTTCCCAAGAGAACAGCGAAGGCTCTGGTGGGAAGTACTGTCTGCATACTCTGATGTTCTTGACAGGACAAAGACAACTACTCAAGAATTACAGTGAGCAAAGGGTTGAATGATTTTGCAGATTAAAATGAATCCAGCGTCAGCAGATGTTACGCTTCCTGTTCTTCACAGAAATAACAATTACTGGAGGCCAGGAAAATGAGAAGTGGTAATTAAAGGCTAGACAGGGAAAAGGGAAAAGTAACTCCAAGCAAATAAAAGAACACCACGAGTTACCTGGCTACATTTATTTCTGAAATTATTCTTTAAGGCACAAAATAAATCTAAAAAAATAGGGCTGGATGTATGAGGGGAGGGGCAGAGAAAATATCTGAGCTAGAGAGGTGTGAATGCAGTCTCTATAATCCAGTTTCAGACCTGACCTGGAAATGCTCCCAGTGTGAGCTGGGGAGGATGGTTAAAGGGGAGAGGTAGGAGGTAGTGGGGTTGTTCTGTTGTGTTGGTGGTTTTTTTTCCACCACCTCCAGATTTACACACATACATGTTCCCTGGCTAGACTCAAGTTCCCTTCCCTTCCCTTCCCTCAGAGAGCTCACCACAGTTTGGAAAGTAAGACCAGACCACTCAATCTTCCAGTACAGAAGTGAGACCTTGACTCAACCTTTGTATCACAGCCTGCTGACAGAGCGGTGGGGGCAGGAGGCAAATCTGTTCCTGCCCTCATGCCAGTGCCTCGATACTACATTTTGCTTCAGACAAACTGTCATTTACTGCTTTGTTCCCACTCTGAAGCAGAATTCCAGACATCCTGGGTGCCCCTGGTGGAAGGGCAGAACAGGTGGAACAGCCGTCATGGGAGGGAAGATGGAATTTTCAAATGGCCCATGACTTGAGCTATCCAGAAGAAACAAGCTCTCTTGCTGCAGGTGAGACTTTATTGGTTTTGGTTCTGAATGCATGTAGTGTATCACACAACTGTCTAAAATAATCCTGCAGAGAGTGGATTTAAAAGTGAATTTCATGCACGGGAACCCTCAATCAACCCTCCAAACTCTTGGTAACTCTTGGTAGTTGGACAAGTTTAAAGGCTCCGAAGATCTCTAGTTTAACTGTTCTGGGATGAGATCACATCTGTGGACTGGGGGTCACAGAAGGGTCCAAATCGTCCATAGATGTCCTTAGCCCGTACGGCAAAGTAGTACTTGCTCCCAGAGACGAACTGGGTGAGGGTGCAGGCCATGGGCAGCGGCAGGGCCTTCACCTCCCCGATCTTCTTCCACTGCGAGGGCATGGTGGCGCTGGGGTCCTCGTGGTAGGCATAGAGGTGGTAACTGTCCACCGTGGCGCAGCTCCGGTCCACCTCCATGACGCTCCACGACAGCACGATGCCGTTCTGACTCTGCACCCGGGCCAGCTTCAGCTGCGGCTTCTGCGGCAGGGAGGTGTTGGCGGCTTCAGGGGGCAGCCGCGGCGGCTGCGGTGCCTCCGGGAGCGGGGCGGGATGCACGGGGCGTGGGGGCTCCTAAACAAGGTAACAGCAGCAAGGGGAAGGTCAGTGTCTACAGCAGTGCAAGGAGGCACCCTCTGCAATTTGGGAGCTGGCTACCTTGAGGACCTTGTCTGTACCTTTTCCTGCCTCAAGTTTTGCCAACAGCTGTATTGAGAAACTGGTCATCCAACTCAAAGCTAAACCTGACTGAACTTCTTAGTGGCTCATCAGCAGTACCCTTGGCTCCACGAGCACCTGCGGACAACTCTAGTTTTCAATATGTGCTACTGGTGATGTGGAGAATCTGGGTGAGCTAACACTGCACACAGCTCACACCGTTCTGGGCAAAAGCTGCTGCAGGTGAGAGGGTGGTGCTGTATACGTGACTGCCCACAGGTGTCTACAAGGGACTCCGCTATTCTGTGGTGCACACAGAGAAGGAATCTGGAAGATGTTAATGCAGAGATAAGCCTGTAAATTGCAGTAAGTAATTTCAAAAGGACTACTCACAGCATTCATTTGTGGTGGTCTGTGATGCACTGTAAGCTGGGGTGCTCCAGATCCAAGAGTCAGTCCATTGTTCACAACATACGTGGTTGTCTGAGGCATTCGTACTGTCATACCTGTCAGGAGAACACCAAACACTTTCAGTACTCAGGACTTCAAAACAGCTACACAAAACACTGGAAAATCAGCTCCTGGGCTCAGTGGAATGACACCGAACTTCAGACAGACACACTCTCCTCAAACTGTCAAGACTGATGAAGCACAACAACAATATCACCTCCCACCCCCTGAAGTTGTAGCAGTGAAAGGGAGCAAGTTCATTATTTATAGTACTACTCACTCTCTTAAGTAACTTTCTATCCACTGAAACGTACACGTTCCGTGAGCTTAAAGCCTTTCCTCATTCTCATGGGTTGCCCAGGGTGTTCCTCTATTTCTGTACAGAAACACAAGATTTGGGGCAATCTCCACCACCCCCTCGTTCCACACTTGTATGAGATCAAAGTGTTCTAATACTCCAGAAGAGAAGCTTGGAGAGTGACACATCAGAAGTGAGTGACAGCTCCTGCATGGTAATGTCTTCTCTGTACAAACAAGCCATGACCACAGGTGATGAGTGTCAGAGGTCTATGTGATCTGTGAGTCTGAGGCAAGGACCTGAGTGGTAAATCTTAATGCTTTTATTATAAAATGCTGAACTGTAGTTAGGTGCTTCACATCTTTTTCCTATTGGCACTTCCACAGAAGCAGCTAACGAAGCTGTGCAAGCTCCTGTAGGATACACCATCACCTGAACTGCCCATTTCAAGTCTATGAGAATCCAGTCAGCTACACTCTGATCCTGTCTCAGGAAATTCCAGTAATCTGAAGACAGACAGAAATGCCTTAGCAAGATATAAGGTATAAATCTGGCATTTCTAGGTAGGCCTATGTCATGGTTTGAGGTAGAAGTACAAAGCTACAATTGGCAAAACACTTTGGGTAAATTTTCACAGGTACCCTTTCAAGTGCAGAGATCTTACTCCTGAAGCATCTGCTGCTGTCATCACAGATCTTCAATGACAACACAAATCAATACACATCAGCAGGAGCATTTCTGAAAGTTGTGTAACAAAGATGGTGAAAATGCAGAAGGGACTAAGAGATGGAAATGCTGACAGCTAAAATGGATTGAGGAACAGGATTGCTTTTGGGTTAACAATAGGCAAAACTTCTCTGCCCGGTGTGCAAATATGAAGCCTTGAAAAAATCTGTACTCTAACTAAACTGGTCTTCCATGTGCCCAGGCTAACCCTCTGGCTTTGCCTGTGCTGAGGTACAGGGAGTGCAGAGTGCTGTGGTGGAACCATCATCTTCTCATCCCTCGTGTGGCTTCCCAGCTGAATGCTGAGTACTGGAGAACACCCAGACACACTCTGAAAGCCAGAAGAACAGCACTGCCTAACAGAGTCACAGAAAAGTCCATGTTTGAAGTGACCTCTAGAGATGATCTGGCCCAACCTTCTGTTGACAGAAAGGTCTTAGATTAGGTTACTCAGGGTCTGGTCAAGCTGTATCTTAATTATTTTGGTGGGAACTTGTCTCGATTTCTGAGAATCTGTAAGCAGACAACTGACGAATAACCATTGGTTGTATCACTGACCATCAGGTCAGAAACACATTACACAGACATCTGTTGTTGGATGACCCTGCCCAGAAAACAGATGAATTCTCTACCTCATTGAGTTCTCCCAGAAAAGGCCTTAAAATATAATTATGTTCTTCAACAACATTAATTATCTTGCATGTCTAACACTAAAAAGTATTCTTAAGATATTGATAATAGCAATGTATACTCACATCATAGTAACTGCTCTAAAAAGTGGTAGATTCTGACAAAAACATGTATTTTACAAAGAAAATACTGTTAGAAATAATTAACAGAAGGGAATGGATGGTTATGTCCTCAAAACTCCTTCCAAAATAGCAAGTAGATCACATGCATCTACCTTGCAGCTAAGGGCAGTGATGGAGCAAACTAAGCACAGCTGATTCTCACAGCCTACAGCAAAGCAGCTGAATCCAGTCCCAAGACAGATTTAGAGTTAAACTGCTACAAGCAGACAGGGATATTCTTTCCAGAAACTACTGCTCCAGAACAATGGATCAGTTATTTCTGCATGAGCCTACACAGGCAGCCTTATCTTACATGGCTCAAGCACTCAGTGTTCAAGTCTGGCTTATACAGATGGTATCTAAAAAAATACCACGACCTGGACACCAAAATAGCAAGCTCCCACTCAGTGCACTAGAACAGGGAAATTTCTGTTTAATGTAATGGTGTTAAAATAACCATAGTGTAGAAATTGTGGGGAGCTAGAAAAAAGGCAGTTAAGATCAACCACTTCATGTTTACCTTTAAGGTCTTTATTTTTGACATCTACTACTAATTTCAAAAAGTTAGTTTACTGCTAGTGGAAGATACCAGTTACATGTTTGCAAAGTCAAGATCAACTTCCTGACACCTCTACTCAAGGAAACTCAAGCATGCATCTATTTCTGGACATTTGGTAAGAAATTTCATCTGTCCAGGCCTAGAGAAAATAAGAACATTTGCTGGGCATGGGACACCAGTGATTGTTAAGGAATTACCTTAGGATGCCTGGTATAAGTCTAACTTTTAGACAGGAAATAGAAGATGATTTACTATAATCTTACTCCATAATAACAAAATGGTCTCTAACTTCTCCTACAAAACAGTGGTGTTCACCACATTACCTTCCACTACTCTGTAAAGTATTGGGCATGCCATCCAGAGATGCTTAACTGGCAGAGCTAGTATCCAAGATGGGCTAGTTAGATGGGCTGACCTTTCTTCCTCATTCACATAGCTGCAGGGGGGATGATTTCTTAATAGCCTGAGCTTTTATCCAGTCTGTGAAATGAAAAAAACCCTAACCTCTATAATTTGGACTAGTATTATAAAAACCAAAAGAACCCAGAACAAAACCCCAAGCCCCACATCCCTCAGACAGAACACTATCAAGCTGTATCATGCCAAAAGGTGCAGGGAAGAAATCATCCCCTACCTCCAGCCTGCGGGTTGACTGGCCTCAGACCTGGGCTTGGCATGAGAGCTCCTCTTACAGGATTCTGAGCTGGTGCTGCAGGAAGAGTGGTATAGACCACCTGATGGTTAGTAGGAGTTCTGGGTATGGGAAGTTTTGGAGCAGCCTGAGTCACTGGCCGGTGAGTTACACTCACTGTTGTCGGAGCTGCAGAAAGACAGAGACCACACCTGAGCATGGAGTTCCACCACATGAAGTTGACAGACCTGCTCCAGAGTGCACACCTCCTTTGGGGAGCTCACTTATCTGAGCCACGTGATACAAAAACTGTCTCTGTGAAACTCTCTCTGCTTTTGATAATGCAAGAAAAGAGAAAACAGTCTAAACAAACAATAATTGTCACCTGAAATAATAATGCAAAAACATACTCAATTCCAAACAGCAAAGATGAAAGTAATACTGTGTACCCCAAAACAGAAAAAAACTCCTGAATATAAGCACAGCTTTGAGAATATAAAAACACACCACAGAGTCTGTAGAACAGATCAGATCAGTCATAAGACAATTCTAATGCCAACTGATCTTCAACAACCATATACAGAAGAACAGTAGAATAAAAAAAGAGGATATATGTTTATGTTAGAAAGAAAGGGGAAAACACTGAAAATCACAAAATAACATTTAACTGGGGCTGGAAGTTCAATGTCAGGTTTGCCAAAAGAAATGCCAAGTGCAGGTGAACAGAGCTGATGGTTTTTCCCCCCGTTACTTAATGCAACTGTGACAGGTTTCTTCTCCCTCACTTCTATAAACAGCATTGTATTTAATAATTTCCATGACCATCCTGAAGAGGGTTTCTTCCTCTCTATGGACTTAATTTGATCCTGAATTCTTTCCAAACCACCAGGACTATCTTTCCCTCTCACTTAATCCGTTGTAAAAAAACATTTGTGCGAAACTGACTGAGTAGAAGATTAAAAAGTGACTCAGACGTTCTTGAGTATTCCCCTGGAAAGACAGGCACAACACAGAACACACAAGAGCGTGGTCCAAGGAGAAAGAGCAGTCACAGCATTCACCTAACGATGAAAAATGAAGGTACCTGCAGGTAGCACATGTAAGGTGGTCTGGGAAGGTCCACTTGTTGGCACACCTGTCTGCTGCACGGGGCTGGGCTGCGGGGGCTGCGCAGGTCGAGCCAGGGGCTGGGTGGATATGCTCAATCCTGTAACAGGTGTCTGGTTCTGCTTCTTGCCATCTGCTTCAGAACAAAATGAAGTGAGAGACAATAGCAAACAAATTAGAACATCACGGAGGTTTTGGATCTTCCCCCCCCCATCACTTACAGATTAGCAAAGAATATTTCCCAGCGGAACATTTCTTTGATTTTTTCACACTGCAAACAAGACTGTAGAAAATTCATTCAATTCCCCTCATTTTCATCATCCTCATCTTCCCCCCTGATGTTTCATGCTATCAAGTCTGTGTGTTTCAGCATAAATTTGGAAACTTGAATTTAATGGAACACTATGCTAGAGTCTTCAGAAGTTTTTATTAAAAAAAGAATAGCCTAAAACCTTAAAAAGGCCTAAACACTGCTATATTCGTTTCCAAAAAATGATAGAGCTCCCCAAATCAATCTTGTCTACTTCTGATGCTTACATCCTTTTATTTGCTGACTCCTTCCTTTGCTCAAGCTGTTAGTCAGTCCTGTTTGTTGTTTTGAATTTTCATGCTATTTCCTTAAAAAATGGGAATCACTTTATTTTTTATAGAAAACTTTAAAAAGAGAATTTAAGTTCTTTTTGCACAGCCACTCTTGTAAACGTGACACTGACTTGTGAGAAGTGACAAATAGAGTCTGCATCTGTAGTTTAGTACAGCAATACTCTTTCCTGCTTTAGTTTATTTGTGATGATGTAGAATATTCATTCCAGTGCACATCCATATGTAAGAAAGCCTGTTTTTCTGAGTAAAGAAAAACTGAGAATCTTTTGCCTTGATATTTCAGCTAGATTAGAGCTGTAGTAGGCAGAGATGGCCTCGCCAAAACCTAAAAATCACAGGATCAGAGAGTAGGTTTTAAGGGCACCCATTCAAAAAAGATTTGCCCTGATAAAACCGTAACATGCAGCAGCCACTAACTTAGTAACAGTGCACAGTACAAAAATAAACCCCCATGCTAATACACTACTAACAATACGTTGGTGACCACACTCAAAAACTACCAGTTAAGTATATTAACTAGATTTCAAAGCATTAAGAACAGGGTTAATGGCAGGGTAGCTCAAAATGTTTGGTTTTTTAGCAGCTGGAGACTATTTTGGTGGTGTCACCCAGCTGTCTTTAACACCAGCTGGGAGCAGCTGAAGTCGCAGTACCCTTCATAAACCCCTCTGTGGTAAATACAATTCAAGACCTCAAGAATAAAATACAACACAAACCAAAGACCATACTCTCTTTCTGTAGACTGAAAGGCTGAGCTACTTCACTGAAGCCATTTGATAAAAGTATTTTATAGACTTTAAAAAATGAAAGAGAAGAAAAGGACTAATAATGGGATGCTCATTCTGAGGGCATAGGGTGAGACCTTTTATTTCATGTTTCCTGCTTTCATCAACTAACATGTCCTGTGGTCAGTTCCAGCTTTTGTTTTCTGTGAGTACGAGAGATTTCCCAGTGTTCAAAAAAATTACTCTGAGGGGATTCCTACAGAGATGCATAAACCTGTTTACTTTGAGTATTTACAACCTGACCCACATTTCAACTGCCACTGGGTAATTTGAGCGATATGAGTGCATCCTCAGTCATGACCTAGAGAAGATGTGCTCATGATCCAGTCAGTAAAATCCCAGGCACACTGCTGATGTGAAACTGTAGTTCAAGTAAAAATCACGGCCTGGAAAAATATGAGGGCTGCTTTGTTTTTAATCTCATGTAGAAGCAAGTTCATTTGTTCCTGACAGACCAAAAGGCCTGCTGAGATTCCAGTTGCTGAAAATGAGAGGTCAGGACTGCACCAGCCACAGGAAATGATGGAAAAAGGGGTGGAGAGTAGATTACACAAACAAATTTTAAAAAAATCTACCTCAATGTTAACATTTACTCTCAACTAGAATCTTTAGTAATTTCAACCAACAAGGGCACACATCATAGTTGCATACTACCAAAACAGTGTAATTTTGCTTCCTGATTGTACCAGGCAAGATTTAAAGGGAAGCTCATAATAGAAACCTCTCTCCAAGTATTAACAGCTATTTAAATATCTTTTGTAAGTAAAGAATTAGGTTTACTTAGTATGTAGGTGACAGCACTTTTAAACAAAACACTCAGGGTCTGAGTGTTCCCCAGCACACTGTGAGTGTTGCTCTCCTGCCTGCATGGGTCCTGAAGCGACACTCCAGCACGCTGCCAGGAGCTCCACGCTGCTGGAGGTGCTCTCTGCCCTGAGCTGTCCCAGTGGATCAGAACCAAGCAGGATTTGCTCCACATCTGCTGTCAACAAAGCGCTGTGGAAAAAAATATTTAGCCAAAGGCCCATGGGCACACATGATTATGCAAGAGCTGTCAGGAGTATGCTCTTCACATTTTTAACCTGAATGTTGTTATCACAACATGGGCACCATTTCCCGAGAAATATGCTTGAGATCCTAGAGATGTGTTCTCACTGCACGGTGAAACTCAAGCTTTTATTAGGGTTTTAGTCCATAGATTTCTGCAGTTTATGTGAAAAATACTGACTCCTCACACAAACTGTAACCATAACTGATCTGCAAAGCTGCAGACCATTGGTGAGCCTGGCTTCTGCTTTACACTGAAGAGACATATGAGAGCTAACCCAGCCTGCAAGGACCCCACTAACCTCCCTCCTAATGAAAGGACCTTTCTCTAAACCCTGACAACTAAGGAGAAAGAATCTCAGACTATCTCACAGGAGAAAACTGTAAGACACTGGCTCCAGAATGAAGTTACTATACTGTAATGCAGCCACAACTCTGCGTGGCTGCTAGCACTTCTACCTGGAGAAGCGTTCTTAGCGCTGCACATGAAACCATGGTGCTGATCTGCCATGGTAATTGTGAGGTGAAGACATAAAAAAAATGTTACTATTGTCAGAAAAAGATTATCTGAATATATTACAATACTGCACATGATACTTTAAAACATACCATAATTCCTCTTAGATCTGTTGGTTTACAGAATATCAGAGAGGACTGGGGAGCTTAACCTTACCTGACAGATTGCCACAGTCAAAGTACAACCATCTTTTTTTACCTTTTTGAGAAGTGACCCTCAGAAGAAATGACAGTGCTAAAAACTTGATTCCCAAAGTTATTCTGACGCTCAACTAAGCAATTCATAGAATCATCCAAATCCTGGCTGGAAAGGACCTGTGGTGGACATGTAGTCCAACTTCTTGTTGAAGCTCGACCATCACCAACAATAATTCTCTGAAATACTCTAATTCTTCACTAATCCAGTGCTAATTATAATTAGACTTGCCCACAGTTACACAAGACTTATTAAAAACTTGTATACTTTTTAAAGATTAAGTGAATCCAAACTGTCAGAATATAAGAGCACAACTATATTTACTCTAATCTTGGCACATGGTCCCAAAGCAAAGACTAGATCTGCATTTGGTATTTAATGCACACAAACTTTTTTAGTTAAATAAAAGATTAGAAGTTGTAGCAATCTAATGCCTGAATGCCAACTGTAGAATTAGAAGGTCTTTAATTGTAAACAGAAAAATGGAAGAACTTTCCAAAACATTAATAAAGAATTTAAATGTCTTAAATTATTCCTCGAGCCTACCAGATTTAACCACAGAGTAACAGTGCTTAAATTAAGACAAAGATAAAAATCTTTGACTTTTCTACAGTAAGCAGAACTCCTTTTACTTAATGCCTACCAAAATTTTCACAACAGCCCTGTTTAAGTGAAACACCAAGGAACTAAATACACCAGGCATAAACAGAAGTTTGTTCCTTTCTGTCATCCGCAGGATGAAGTAATAATGTAGCTCAATCACCTCTGCAGCTAGCAAGATCTTTTCCACCTACCTTGAGAAGAGCCATCATCCTCTTCATCCAGTGTAAGATCAATGACACCTCCTGACTCACTGCCTGTGACCTTCCCGCTCTGAAAGACAAAACTCCTTCATTTTGCAAAAGCAAGTCCAGAGAACATGGGTGGAAAAGGGACAGGAACTGAACATTCAGGAGAGGTGCCAGAACTGATACACTTAATAGAAAGGACTGATGAAAGGAACAGGAGGAGGAAACTTCAGATAAATTTCCATGGCTGTTCAGACTGGAGGGATCACCAACCCTTTTTCCTTTAAGTGATGGAAAAAATATCAGATGAGGATTTTAAAATATACTTTCTAGAAAACCAACCAAACCTTGAATTATGACAATTTCTAGTTCCTTAAACTTGTTGCAATTTTTTTATTTTTATTTTTTTTTTTAATAAAAGAGGTGCTCATTTATTGTTGGACTGAACTGCTACTGGTTTAGGGATTAGAGTAAACCAGGTTCCTTAGGACACACAAAGCATTAGGAAAGACACATAATTATCAAACTCTCTGAACAATTATCATGGAAAAAAGCCTAAAAGTTATCAGCCCCCACATGGCATCTACAAATGCCAACATAAAAATCCTATGAAAATTAGAGATTTCTCTGTGCAGTCCCATGGGGACAGACGCAAAAAGCCTAAACACCGAGATTATCTGCCCTGTGACCTTTCATTTGGGTAAAACTAAGTCTTTAAGGAGGCCCTAAAGACAACTCTCACACAGGAAAAGCTCTGAGAGAGGAAAAAGAGGTACCATTACTAAAACCAAACAAAAGCTGTGTCAAAAAATGCCTAACATGACTGATCTCTTCATTACGTACTATTACAACCTGATTTCTTCTTGCCTCTAAGTTCTGATGCTGCCACTGATTAAGTTCTGCTAATTAGCCTACATGCCACACTTCTTGAGTAAGAAAGATCTAACCAGTGTTTGCAGGTGATAGAAGAGACCTCTGTGGGACTCTTTGTATTTGCTATATACAGAGAAGTATCCTTCAGATTTATTAACCATGGAATTCTTCTGTTAAGTGATTTCTATTTCAAAAGACTTCGCAGCCTCAGTTTTCTTAGTGTGACGAGCTGATTTACCCACTTGAAGCTTAAAATAAAAGGCACATTCAAATAATCAACTCTCACTCGATTAGCATAAAGTCAAGAGGAATTTCATTCCAGTCAGCAATGTGTATTTTGAACTACATCTCTCTCTGCCAGGAGAAAGCAGATTGGAAAATGGAGGAGCAGATTTGTAAGGAACTGGAGAAAGGAAAAACTAGCACTAAGCCATTCATTTCTCCCCACTACAAAATACATCAGTCTGAAGTAATTTCCTTTCAGTTCTTCCTCTGCAAGGAAATCTAGATCTTTAGAAAAATACACGAAAGCCAACTATTTTGAAGCCCTACTCAACCATGTCAGCTGAGAAAGTTCTTTGAACTGCCCAGTCAGCAACTGCCACTGTATGCATTTTTTACTTTGGGGTGTCTGCAAGGCCAAAAATCTTTGGAGGTAGTTAACACACCACTACTAAACTATAAACCCAATCAGTCAACAGCACTTCTCAGGAGCAAAGACCTTCCTGTAGTTAACCACACTATTCGAGGTTTTCTAACAAATAACCCTGGCAGCAATCTCAAAGGCAACTTTCAACCACAACCCACACCAGAAGCTGCAGATATGCAGGGCAGTGCTGAGTGACACTGAGGTACATCCATCCCCCAGTTCCAGTCTCAGGGCACACACTCCAGCTGCTCCAAGATGCTGTCCTCCACACACAGCACACCCTGGAGCTCTGACTCCCTGGCCTCCCCAGCCAGATTCCACCAGCTCACTGACCATGCATCTTCCTTGAACAACATTCCAGGGTACAGGAGAATTGTAAGGAAACGTGAAAACACTGAAACTGCTGCATGTTATTTTTCCTGCCTAGTGGGAGTCTGGTGTAGGCAGGGTGTCCCCACACAGAAAAGACTGCTAATTATGCCTACCATAAAGGTCAGGCTTTTGACCTTTCCGAGCATCCACCTGCACTGAAAAGGAAGGAGGAGCACTATCCATTTGTGCATCCTGTAGTGCTGGCCACAGTTTTCAGATACTTGTAGGTATCTCAAATCCAGAAAAGAAATTCAGAAAGAACTTGGAGTTGAGTATTAGAAGACTGGTCCACATCACTTTCTCATTGTCAAATTAAGCATCCCCATGATCTGAGAGAGCAGCTTTAACAACCTATCCCAGATGCTTCTGGTGTGTTGTCACTTAGCACCTAACTGGTTAAGATCTACAAATGCAACCATTTGGAATTATCCCTGCCAAAAGCAAGTAGTAAATGCTTTCCAGAAAATCCTGTGCCTAACCCATCAAGAAAATAAAAACATCCCTTTTGAGAATCATAACTGTTTTGCTCAGAAATTCTCACGGAAATATTTGTTGCTATAAGGACTTGTGAAGACTCCAGTTTACAACAGAGCTATGTTTGAGGAAAGGCTAGAGAGACAACAGCAGTTGCTTCTGTAGAAAGACTGGAAGGGGATCCTGAGGAGAAGAATGCCATGTCACAGATCAGAAAAGGGGATTCAGATGTGCTGCTCTGAGTAAATCAGAAACCAGCTTAAGCAGGTTTGCAGCCCTGGTGAAGGCAAAGGGAACCTGACACTGACCTGCAGTCATGTATGTCAGGAACTGACATAAGAGAGCAAGTCTGTCAGATGCTAGTATTAGATTTCAGCAATCACTGGGGCAGAAACCAGTAACACAGAAAAGTCAAGTCAGGGCATTCTGGTCTGCCACTAGCTTTCAGCTTCCCAGACAAGGAAGCCAAGAACTGAACCTGCCTCAGCTATCTCTACAGAAGAGCAAGAGGATGCATCGTGACACCTTTTCACCAGCACAGTCACACTAGTGAAATAATTAAAACCACTTAATGAGAGCCCAGTGCTTCAGTTCACATATTGCCTAGCAAGCCTGAATAACAGAAGATTCAGTCATGTCAGAATATCCAATAAGCTGCAACAGAAACCAAATAACCACAGCAACATGAAATCATCTCTATTTAAAGATCACAGTTAAAAAAACTCATATAAAAAAACCACAACCCCCAAACCCACCATTTAATTTGTCAGAACCATAGCACAAGGTCTCCAAACATATCACAAGTGGCACTCGAATCTGACCGTCTACAACAGGTTTTCTTACAGAAATTCTGTTCATGTTACAGTAACTACACTTCAATCCTGAGGTTTCTACAAAGGATTGGTCAGCTATCTATAGTCAGAATTTCATACATTTTTGACTGCCTATGCTATGACAACATACCTCCTGCTTTCTTCCAATCCCAATGACTAAAGTCTTTCTAACAGTTAAAGAAAGTACTGAGAAACAGATGTACTGAAAAATAAGATATACTCATGGGGAGAAGTGCTAGCAAAAAGCAGCAATAACACAATTTTCCTTGAGGAAGAAAAGAACCATACAATGACTTTCCAGAATGAATGCCATAAGGATATTCAAGAAATTTAAAGAAGTATAATAAAAAAATATTTCAAGACATTAATAAAAATCTTGGAACTTGCTAAGAATGCAAAAATACAGAATGAAGTTACAGTGTCACAGCATGTACACACCAATGGAAACTACTGAGGAAAACTGGGTGAGAAATCTCTTCAACTCAAACTGAGCAGCACATGTAACCTGTCACATCACTTTCTGTAACAGCACAGGCACACACACCAGCATGCACATCTACTGCACCCCACAAACACCAAAAGGTAAATGTTGTTTTGAAGAAGGTTCTGGGTATGCACTTCTCTGTTCACACACAATTAGAAAAATATTTTTGGTATTATATAACGCCATGGTTCAACTCATCACATGGAGAGAGCAATGCTGTCCATTGTAATGCCAACTGCTTTTCACAGAGGAACATTTCACTACGTAAAAGTGAAAAATGAAGGGGAAAAAAATACAACCACCACCACAGATACGGTGCAAAATAAAAATTAAGTGCAGGGTAGTAAAGATCAAAATTCTGAAGACTGTGTGTCACAATGACACAGTGTAGACAATTTTATTATTAACAACTTCTACAGTGACAAAACAGAAGAGCTTGTGGGGGCTGTAAACCAGACAGCCCCTGAGGCACCAGAGCACCAGGGCGTTACACAATAGCAAACTCAAAAATCAGGGGGAGCCACACGTTCTGGGGACAGGGAGTGTTTGGGGAGGGCAGTGATCTGTATGTGTATGCATCATTCTAAAGGCCCACATTATGTTTTCAGTCATCCACATACAAACCTACAGATTTCAAGCCCAGTCTAAACAGCTGTGGAAATTGAAAAAAAAAAAAACAACACATTTTTGCACATATTTTCAGTCACTAACTGCTTCAACGCCAGACTTAACACTCCTTAATGGTTATTTTTTTTCTGGTGCAGTAACTCCCACAAAATTCAAGTAATTATTCCAGCCTTGCAGAGCTGTCATGAAAATTCATTTGGCTAAGAATCAAATGTGTTTGTCATCTCTTACCAAGACGAAAATGAAGATGATAATGCAATAAAGTTAGCATTTACTGAGATCATAGTTTGCACAAACAAAATTTCACAGGGCTGCAATACATGTTCTGATAGTGAGTGGTTGCACACTCATTTAATACTCAAATACTATTAACAGACATTTTGCATACTGCATTTACAAGACTGCTGCGTTCCCCTTACCCTCGATTGCTACTGTGCAACACTTCCTACAGAACAAGAACAATGCAATCATGGAAAAAAACAATAACCAGTCTTAGTAGCCCCTACATATTACAGACCCTCTCATTTCTTTGGTGCAAAGAGTAGACACTGGCTCTGCTAACCCTACTAACAAGCATCATAAATCAAGAAGGCTATTGCCAGAAATGCTGCTTTTAGGCATGAGGTATTTTAAAAGCCATAAAGGAACACTTGACACAATGCTTAAAGTATTTCTCCACTGCTGTGATTTTGGTTTTCCTTAATGAAACAGTTAGAAGTGTATATAATAAACACATACCTGTGTGCATGCACACACACGTGTCTCTTTACTGA